TAAATATTAAAATCTTTTTAACTTAAACTCATAGACTTTATACAGTAAAGATTTTAATATTTAGTCGTAAGCAACAAAATATTAAAAGCATTATAAGATAAGCTTAATTTCTGTGGATTCATTCGTTATATTTTCATTCATATGTTATATTAAGTAAACATATTTTCATTATACTCTATATCATGACAAATTGAAAATGTAATACTAATAATTTATTTATAATGAGAATAACAAAAAGTTTTGTTTTGTAATGTTTGAATATATAAAATGTTTTATATAGATGTGTTAATTAGGTAACATAATTACTTTGCTAATTGGGCAAATATTTTGTTAAATATACTGTACATTATTAATGACCGTATTTATAAAAATACATCAAAATATGATGTATTTTGATTTAAGCTCATAAATAATTTAGTATTTTCATCTCAATTAAAATTATATAAATAGCAACTGTATCGATTTTTGCATAATATATTATACATGTAATGTTGAATATTGACTAAACACTAAATGAAACTTTCATTTCTAAAACTATTTTTCGTATTATGCTCGTGAAGTTAAAATTATTTGTTATATAATATTTCAAATATTATATATTTTTTATTAAGTAAATATTGCACTATTGTGCTATCATGATTTTTTGGAGTTATATTTTAATATAAATCTAAAATATTTTTCAATTATAAGTTTTTAATATCGCTAAAATTGAATGCGAAAAGATTTTTTATTATTTAAATAAACACCTTAGAATTTACAAAATTAATTTATTTTACGTCTACACAACCTTGGCATTTATGAAGCCATTATGCTATATAATATACAGTGAATATAGCATTATATAATATAATATTAAACATTGCTATGTTTTATACACCTACGACTAGTTCATAATATTCACAAACTTTTATGTGCCAACCTAATTAGTTTATTATTTTTGCTGTTCATTTATTGATCAAAATAATTTAATATTGCACTTTAATAAGACGGAATACCTATACATAAGCTACAGTATTATGTAAATTATCTATACATGTACATCTAATATACTTTACCATCTACTATATACTGTATGCCATACAGTGTATGTAATTTTACTGATGAGTCTCAGATGAATCTCTACCTCAGATAATAAGAGTTAAAATACATTTACTAAAAAGGTTTTCAAAATGTTTAAATTACTACTTACTCTGTATGGAATAAACTGTAAAAATAAATTTATTAATACGTTAATTACGGGTATCATAATTGCTATATTTTCTGGACTTATTTTATCTATTGTACTAAAAATAGATACTCTTAATAATTGTGAAGTAATACGTAATGTACCGTGTTTATTATGTTTTTTATGTTGCTTCATCACATATTTATACATTAAAATAAACTCACATTTAATTTTGGAAATACTTCAAGATCTTGATGATTTCTATATTAAATATAAACTTAATAAATCTAACTTGTTAATTAATTATTATATTTTCTTGCACATATTTTTTTATATCACAAATGTCTATATTGTATACATACATGACAGTCATATCTATAAATGTGAGCATGGTCATGGCGACCTGCCAATTTTCAACCACCATGCTGCAATATCTATTTTCTATATAAGTGGTTGGAAATACTTTTCTCAACTATACTACTATGAGATTTACATGAGATATTTAAAGGTGTTAATGGTGCTGGATACAAAAATACTCGCATTACCCGGGTATCCATCAAAGAAATTCTTGTGGCATATCATTGACACACTGGACGACTTCCGGCAAAATGATCTAGTTATTTACAAATGTTTGGACCGTATTAAATATGTAATATTTATGATACCTGTTGTCACTAATTGTATGGAACTGTATTTTTGTTATCTAGCAATTATCAAGCAAGATTATGTCTTGTGTATGTTGTTTATTGCAATGTTTGTATCATCATTTATATACTCGGTCATAATTATTTTAAAAATTAAAATCAATGAATATGTAGTTTGTAAGATTAAAAATAGTTTATCAATCTGGGTAAACTATATTATGAAATGTAATTCTCTTTGTATTTAAACACATTTATCATTTATTTATAATTATTTAAAATTATTATATATAAAAATAAGAGCATGCTCATACATTATTTAATATTTTAAAACCATGTTACCTCAATGTGGTAATACTGACCCAATATTTATGTTGCCAGGTTAAACTACAAATATTTGAATTTTTATAAGTGTTATATTGTATGTGTTTAATATTAAAGATACTTTCAAGCATTCAATATTTACTTGTAATGACAAAAATATATGTAATAAATATTGAAAAATAATACAAAATTTTGACGTCTTGTTAACTAATAACATTATGTACAATAAAAATATATATTAATACTTATATTGTTAAGTAGATTTTATTTGTTAAAAATTATTTATTGTAAACAATGTATAAAGTATCGATAATATTAAGTATAAAATTATAGAATAGTGAGTACTTATTAATTGTGCATGCTTCTTTTAGATCAATCACTACTAAAGATAAATACTAAAATAATATTTTTATGATAAACGTTTCAATATTATTAATCAAAAAAATTATTTCTTAATCAATTTGTCAATAATCACATGCACTATGTAAATACAAATGTAAATCCTTGTGAATTTTACCATGTTGCAAATTTGATAATCATTTGTTTTTTTATTACAACCATTGAGTTATAGTTAGCAAGCAGATAATTAGTACTTTACTAACATTCTTATCAAGTGTGTTTCAAATGAAATTAATGATTACAATATAATTGCCTAATTTATCTTGGTATAGAATTTAAGAGAAAATGTGACAAAAATTTCAAATATAAAAGAAGTAAGTATTTCTGGGAAATAATTAACTTTAAAATATTTATATATTAAATAAATATACTACATTTCCTATTACAAATGATCATGACCACCATGAAACTATTAACGCTTTTTAGTATATTTGTGTCAGGCTACATTTGCGAGACTACGCTAGATTGGAGGGACAAGAATGTAAGACTACCAGTGCACAACCAGGTAAGTTTGATTTTAAAATAATTATTTAATTTTGTTTCAATTTGTTTACACATTAATTAGAGCCAATGTCTGAGTGCGGGAACAGTGAACGTGTTGGACATGATTAGCGCCATTCGCTCATTAAAAACCGGTAAATCACTGGAGCCTATGAGCGCACAGGAGGTGTTTGATTGCAGTGAGTTGACCATGGTCACATTCATAACATCACGTTTATTTTGTTATAGTTATATAATTAATGTCTAATTACTAGACCCCGATTGGTGTATATGTAATACTACTATCAGCGCCTACGATATCATACAATCCATATATGATAATATAGGAATGGGACTTGATTTGAAAAGGGATCACCCGTTCACCGGCCAGTGCGCCCATACATGTAATTTAACAATAATTGCCAAAACAGCTTTTAGATGGGAATACGCCGGTTGGAGTGACCCGTGGCTACCCTATGATCAGGAGGAAGATCTGAGTCTTTTCTTAGAAAAAGGACCGGTAGTTGTGTACACAAAGTCCAGTTCCCGTGTATTCCAGACATACGCCGGCGGTATACTCGACAGCCATGAGTGCAATACTACCGGCCCTTTTGATCACAGCCTACTTCTGGTGGGAGAGGGTGTCGACAATGGGACCGACTATTGGTTGGCTAGAAATAGGTATGATTTCTAATGTAATAAGTCTTTCAATACTTTAATTGTAATTTAATTGACAGTTACGGTGAGGGTTGGGGTGAAAAGGGTTACATACGACTGGCTAAAGGTAAAAATACGTGCGGGATCGGTTTAGGAAATGTAGCTATTGAATAGATAGGTTAATAATTAATATCAATAATTTAATAAAGCATGATTTATTTTAAATATTTGATTACTTAGTTTTATGAAATATAGACACGTTTAAATGCCAGTATTAAATTTATTAGATCGTTAACTTTTCCGGTAATAATGAACGCAAAATAATAAAAAATTATAAATTACAATTGTAACTAAATCTGTTTTAAAATAAATGCTTTTTATTTAAAATTTAATAATAAAGTTAAATCAAATTAATTATAAGTTAAATTTTTATATATAATACAAAAACTTAATTCAACAATCAGACTAAATGATAGTAATGAGATACCTGCGCTCGGGTACAGAAGTTGACTACTGGTGCCCGACAGACACCGTACCCAAATGGCGCCCATAGAGACCGTCAAAGGGGTCGTTATGATTGGGTACCAACACATCGACAAGGCCTACATGTATGACACGTGAAAAGTTATCGGTGCGGCACTGTCAATATAAACGTCAATATTACTAATTAATAAAATTAATCTTTAATAAATATATCTATAATCTCAGGCACAATGATCATTCAAGGGCTTTGTGAGTTATGCCATGTTAAAAACGTAATAATGCAGCTATGTTCAAACTCTTTTAAGGTAGGCATTCACATATAAATCACACAGTCAAGTTACATAGGTCATTCTGAATGACTCATTCATGAATAACTACTGTACTTAAAAAAGTTTGAAATTAGCTGTGATAAGCATTTCTTTTTAAGTTTAATTACAGTATCTATTGATTATTGCAGCACTAATTTGCAAACTGAATTTCAGATCGTATCATATTTGATAGCATTAGACAATATACCGTAGTACTTTAGATATAATTGAATTTTAATCTATAGTTTTTAAACGAAATTGATGAGTGCATGGAAAATTAACCGTACCTAATTGAAGGACTTTAGATAATAAAGTGACACAAACTTCTTATATAAACAGTTTCTAGAAAAATAAATAACTTTAATATATTTATGTAATAAATAAATATAATACTTTTTATACGTTAAAAAAATTATGGCCACCATTAAATTATTATTGTTTTTTAGCCTGTTTGTGTCAGGCTACATTTGCGAGACCACGTTGGATTGGAGGGACAAGAAAGTAATACTACCAGTGCACAACAAGGTTGGTTTGATTTTAAAATTAACTCTCATATTTACTTTGTTTCATAAAAACAACCTATCTTCAATATATAGAGTGAATGTCTGAGTGCGGGAACAGTGGACGTGTTGGACATGATTAGCGCCGTTCGCACATTAAAAACCGGTAAACCACTGGAGCCTATGAGCGCACAGGAGGTGTTTGATTGCAGTGAGTTTGACCATGGTCATATTCATAAAATCACATTTATTTTTCTATATTTAATAAACATATTATGAACGCCTAATTATTAGACCCCAGTTGGTGTATATGCATTAACACTACTGTCACCGCATACGACGTGGCACAAACCATAGATGATATTATGGCACTGGATGTGGAAAGGGATCACCCGTTCACCGGCCAGTGCGCCCATACATGCGATGCATCAAAAATCTTCACAACAGGCTTTCGCTTTCTGAACGACTTTACAATATTGGAGTTACCCTGGGATGAGGAGGCAAACCTTATCGATTACTTGGCAACGGGACCACTGGTTGTGTACACAAAGTCCAGTTCCCATGTATTCCAGGCATACGCCGGCGGTATACTCGACAGCCTTGAGTGCAATACTACCGACCCTTTGGATCACAGCCTACTTCTGGTGGGAGAGGGTGTCGACAATGGGACCGACTATTGGTTGGCTAGAAATAGGTACGATTTTTGATGTAATCTTTTATTATTTTAATTTCAATTTAATTGACAGTTATGGGGAGGATTGGGGTGAAAAGGGTTACATACGTCTGGCTAAAGGTAAAAATGTGTGCGGGGTCGGTTTGGGATATGTACGTGTTTTAAAGACCTTCATATAATTATTTTCAATAAAATAATTTAAAGTATCTGAGTAATTATTCATTTGTAAAAATTAAGTACATCAAAATTAAAGTATTTAGTTTATTAGACTGTTAACTGTAATAATTAATTTAAATTAATGAACATTATAAATAAAATATGGAAACTAAAGAGTCTTGTACGTAGAAAATACAATTAAATACTTGTGATTACTGTGATAACCAGGGTCTTACACATTTTAAGGCACTATTTATACCACTTGTTCTCAATTTGTCACTTAAGTGACAACTAGCCTTGTAACAACTTTGAATTATAAAGCATTTCATTCAACACTAGTTATTTTATTTATTAATATCACCTTACTCACCTTACTAATCAATATAATATTTTATTTCAAAACTAATAGGTTGACAATCCATATATGAATATTTATTAATTATAAGTACTTAAAATAAACAAAAAATAAAATAATCAAGTTTAGACTCATATTATAACAAATTAATTGTGTGTTTTGCTTCTTTTATAATTTGTATGAATAAATAATTTTATAATTTTGATTTTTAACTTTAAGTATTAGAGATTAATAAAATAACTAGTGTTGAATCAAATGCTTTAAAATGCAAAGTTGTTACAAGGTTAGTTGTCACTATATTTATAGAATGAGAACCACTGATTTATACAATGTCTACGATTGTTACAAACGGCATATTAAAACTTATTTAATGCCTGTCCCTTATGTATCCGAAATGTGATTAACTTTGCGATACTCGTGAGTGAGTCATACCACTCATTGATTGTATTAAATCAATTGTAAACTTACGTTAAAAAGTAGATAGTTTATTTCACATAATAATAACTATTGAACTCAAATCAATGATTATCCAGATATGTATTACACTGTACATTAGAAATATAGGTCCCAAAGTACTCGAGAGTTTATATATAATTAATATTAAATTATCCCTAAATCTATAAAGTTATTTTATATCATATCTAGTGAAAATAAATATTAAATATAAAGTTTGTACTAAAGTTATTTCATAATATCTCTTTTGAGTGTACGAGAAAATTTTAGATACTGTATATTACATGTATATAATTTCCCATATACAATTTATAAGTATAACTAGTTATACTAATAAGTATCAAATATGACTTCAAATCTAACTTTCTCAATTAATATGCAATCGTTGTTAACAAATAACCATCAAGTGCTATTATCAAGTGCAAGTATGATTATGTTTTAAAACATAATTTTATAAACCCTAACCCATATTCATAAGAATATCATGTCAGTAAAGTACTAATTATCTTCAAATGTGATAATCACTTGTTTTTTAGTT